GCAACATCATCCGGTAGCTGAACACGGCTTCCCCGGCACCTCTCTCCAGTGCATTAGAAAATGTCTTAGGTCCAGCGAGGTAGAAGCCTAAGCCCCCAGGTAACGGCGTCTTAGGGCTGCAACTTCCCTTGGGATACCGTGCCTCCCAAGCCAACTGCGGCTCTGGATGGGAGGAGGGTCGAATAGGTGGAGGGGGGCATACTACATTGTGAGTTAGTTTCCCTGTATTCTTGTGAATACCAAGAGCAGAATCAGAGAGTGTGGCATTCATCAGATTGGGTAGTGCTGGCGCAGAAGGACATGTAGTAAATCCAAGGACAAAGTCTTGGATTGGGAACAGGGTGTCTTTAAATCGGTGGTCAGTAGAGGTGGACGACATGATTGAGTTGATTTGCCCTTTGTTGTTCAGTAGTGGTTAGTATATAAACAGATACGCTCGGAGGAATGACGTCATTCCGAAGGCGGATCTGTGGGAGGCTCTCGGAGCCCCTATTCCGTCTCTTACAATCAGTACTCTCATTCACTTTGCTCTCCGGACTCATGGATTTAAAGCTGGATAAGGCTTCTGTTCATTGTAGGTATTAGTTCTAGACCAGATGTTCCACTCAGAATGGTTGTCCAATAAGCGTCCATTGCAAGTAGTTAACTGGTAATGACTTTTCCGAGGACTTACTAGCCGTTGAGCACAGCTCAGAAATCTATCTGTGGCATTCAACTAGGATCTGTGCACCATGAAAGCATGGTTCTCTTTGAAACTATGAGTGTACCCGACAACCGGAATGATCTGGACAGTGGTGTACACCTGTCGTCCATACTAACCCATCGTTCACTTCCGTTCTGCTGGATCTTCTGAAGGACGATCGGAAATAAATCAGCTTTGATGGCAGTACATAGTATGGAATACTAGACAGTGTTGGAACCTAGGTATGTTACATGGGAAGGTACAAAACATGACGATTGACATGGGAATATCAGTGCTGTCATATGTAGTCCATGTTGATCTCACAGTTTGTCTTGCGCGTTTTCTAATCTTTTACTTGACAATCTTTCGAACCAGTACTCGACCCTCTTGCACCTGGAGCGCGCAGACAAAGCTGCCACAGGAGTATGCGTATACTCGAACCTGTGAGCTCATACACTGTTATGTACTAACTCATTCGCGTTTTTAAGCCTTGTTCTTTGTCCCAGAACTTTTGTCACCACACGTGCCCCGGGCCAGCAGGAAGCAAATTGCGTGAGTATATTCTGCATAAATGTGTGACTAAGCAACGGCGACCAACTTCGGTTACACAATGACCCGACTCACCTCATCCACACAGCGTCATCGAAATTCAGGCCATCTTGGTGGAAATTGTCAGCAAGTTCGAGGCTTCCCTGACTGAGGAAGCTGAGAGAATTCGTCGGGAGCCATGTGTGCTGATGGCCCAGGGATTCGATTACCGCTCGCTATATCGGTCTCTCCCTGGGAACAGGAAGCGCGAAGTAATTGATCTACCAAAGGTGCGCTGCTAGCTACACCCTCGAGCGCTCGTTGTGTTCGTCCCTCTTGACGGAAGATTGTTAAGGAGTATCGTGCAGTTTGCTATTCCCAGTTTTTTTTGATAATAACCTCGTCTGGTCGCGTTGTAAGATGTTTCAACGTCCATCGATGTACGTATCTCGCGTATAAGAAATACCGTGGTATGTGCCAACTAATATGAGATCCAGATTCACGGCTTCTTTCCGCATGGGACTGGCGCACGCTGGGTTGTACATACATGGGAGCCGGTAAGACGGTGGAGACCGTCGTCAGTGGCACACGATTGAATAATGTCACATTTGCCTCGTCATCGCATCTGACTCGAACGTGTCAGCTTGCATGCCATATCCACTGGATAGAAGCGTTCGTCGCAACCATCAGGTTTGATCGGTTTTGACTTTTTAGGACAGCTTACCCCTAACTATTAGTCAAGCACTATGACACACACTACAAAGGAAGACTATATGTCAATGATCTTTACAGTAATTACTTCCTGACGAGTGTGTTGCTCACATTCGGTGTACCGCTTGCCATACTACCGACTCCCGGCACCCAATGTTGGTGAGTAATTCATCATAACAATGCGAATACCGTGAATGGATGCGTACAGATTCATATGGTATATAAACGACGCTGCGTTCTGGAGGGACTGCTCATCAGCTTCTCAGATGGATCACTACTTGACTCCCCTGTGCCTTTCCCTCGTCTTATATGCTATCTACAGGCGTTACACCAGAATGTCTCTTTCTCGGGTGCGCGGACCTAAGCCCACATCGTTCCTTTTTGGTGAGTGTACCATTCACTCGGTTATCCCCATCCTGAGTTGTACTGCACAGGGAACCTTCCTGAATTGTACCAGGGCATGGCCGGTGAAGCAGAGTTCCGTTGGAAAAACCTCTACGGCAATGTCATCCGAGTCAAAGGCATCCTTGGCGTAGGTATGCTGCTACTTTATGCGAGGTTTTCTTATCTTCCTTCATAGGAGGATCAACTTGTGGTTGCTGATCCGAAAGCCTTGTCACGGATATTCGTCACTGCCGCGTATCAGTTCCCAAAAGTACCAGAACGTCGAATTCTGACGTTCATGATGCTGGGAAAGAGTGTTCTCTGGGCAGATGGTGTGTTCAAACCTGAGATCTAGCGGAAACTCATCTGACAATGCCATATCGGCAGGCGACGTCCATAAGCGACAGAGGAAGATATTGAATCCTGGCTTTGGGGGAGCTGAATCAAGGGCATTCTTAGCGGTATCACAGGCTGCTGCCCAGGCCGTAAGTCGCTTGCAATCGGATACGGCTTGAGACTGATCCATTGTTAAGATGGTCGGAAAATGGATGGAACTCGTTGAGGCTGATAATAGTGGCAAGATTGTAATGGACATCCCAAGCTGGGTCTCTCGAGCAGCTTTGGACGCCATAGGAGAAGGTATGTAAATGTAGCAATCGACTTCATGATCTGGCCTTATATTTTCAATTTCAAATCAGGTGCCTTCGACATCCGGCTGGGTAGCCTCGAGAATTCGGAGAACCCGCTGGCGAAGAATTACCAAGGGTTGTTGTACGTCGTTATACCGTCTTTCTCTGGAGGACGGGGTTGATCTTGCTGCCCAGGCTGAGCGTCTTTGGTTCCCCTTCGGCGCTACAAATCTTCATTCAGGAAGCTATCAAGTACATTCCGACATCGATCCTCGAATACTGGGTCAAGTACGCCCCCGTCTCCCGAGCCACACGTCTCCGTGAAGCGAAGAAAGTCACCACTGCCACTGCGGCAACTATGGTGACAGAGAAGGCAGAGTCTCTTTTGCAAGGGAAGGGGAGCAGGGATATTTTCTCGCTGCTTGGTGAGTGGTACGTGACTCCTATGGCATATGTAATCATCGTTTTCGTAGTCAAAGCAAACATGGACGCTGATGCGAAGAACAAACTAAGTGATGAGGAGCTATACTCTCAGATGCGGTACGTTCACAAGCCGAAGGTGGTGATTTTGTCAACTTACCACCATTGTAGCGTAATCCTCTTTGCGGGACACGAAACGACTTCAAATTCGATAGGTTGGGCCCTGCTGGAAATGTCCCGAGCTCCTGAGATACAGTCGAGACTCAGATCGGAGATAAGGCAACACGAGTCTGCCCTTCGCGCTCGTGGCGACACGCATTTCACTGCGTCCGACTTGGATAACATGCCATACTTGAATGCCGTCGTTAAGGTAAACATGCGTTTGATGTCTCGACGCAGTGATTCACCCAACGTTGGTAATTATAGGAAACTTTGCGATATCATTGTGTACTGCCTCAGGTGTTTCGCATGGCTGGTCAGGACCACGTTCTGCCACTTTCTCAACCAATTACGACGGAATCAGGCGAATTAATGCATGAGATCCTGGTTCCGAAAGGGACCCGGATCATAGCATCTGTCGCTGCATACAACCGGTTCGTGATTTCTATCATTTCCACTTGGGATATGTGCTGAAGATGTTATAGCAACAAGGACATGTGGGGTGAAGATGCCGACGTGTTCAATCCAGACCGTTGGTTAGATGGCATTGCGAAGGACAAAAAGGAAGCTGCCGTTGGTGTATACTCCAGCCTGTGAGTCCGTGTGTATATGCCTACGCATTTTGCTCACTCTCCTCCTAGGTTGACGTTTGGTGGTGGACCCCGCGCATGCCTAGGTTGGCGATTTGCGTAAGTACTGCCATGTTTCACGCGCAAGAGTATGGCTGAACAACACCTATGCGTCACAGTGTCATCGAGATCCAAGCGTTCTTGGTGGAGATTATCAACCAATTCGAAGTATCGCTCACAGAGAAGGCGATGCATATTCGACGTGAGTCCTCTCTGGTGATGGTGCCTACCATGGAGGGCGAGGTCAGTCGTGGAGTTCAATTACCACTCGCCATATCTGTCGCTCCGCGGGATGATGACGCGTACTGAGCAAGATGATGCTTTTAGCGGTGGTTCATTGCCAGCTATGCTGTAGAACGGGGGGAGCTTCGTGGGCCCGCTATCCGCGAATAATTCTGCCGTATATTGCTTTTTATTTCCTTCTTCATTTGCCTACCTCGACCTGTTGTAAGAGTTTCGTTCAACGGTGTACATAGCATATCCCCTGGACACCGTCAGGGTTATTAATGGTCTCTAATCACACTGAAATCCGATTGGAATACCAACTAGCGGCTCAGTCTTGCCATGAGGATAAGTTTATAAATCCTCGGAGATGTTATTGCGACTGAATCCTCGGGCAACAAATAACTGTAGAGCAGGCTCTGTTGTTTCGACAACAATCGATCTTGAGTAACAGCAGAAGCTATTCCACTGTTCGCCACGTGTTCCAGGGGAGCCGAGTCACTTCCGAAGATGAACCAGTCGACAGCAAGATCCCCACATGCAAGTGGTACGGAATTATCATTATCATGCTTCCAGTAATTCTTACCGTGTGCATAGGTGTACGTATGGCCATCACGAACGCCTACGATGCCCTGGATGCGTACACAACGCGGCGATACCCAAAAGTGAGAAGATCTGGGCACTACCGTCGAGGACGGCTGACAGAAACAACGATGAGATTTAAGTCCATACTATTACTTCATACCTCAGATTCGGAAAGTACCAGCACACAACATCTGACAGCGAGTCATGACAGCAAGGTAGTAAGTCTGAAAGAAAAAGGCGGCACATAGTATGGAACCAAAAGTACTGGAACCCTGAGGTATTATGGATGAATGGACTGGCATAAACATAACAGTTGACATGGGAATACCAGTGCTATCATAGCTCACGTTGACACACAGCTCGTCTTGTGCGTTTTCCAATCCTTTACTTGACAATCTTTCGAACAGTACTTGACCTTCCTGCACCTGGAGCACGCAGACAACGAAATGCCCCCTTTTCCGCACGCCGCACACCCTGTCAAGGCGGGAGGCCCAACTGGGTCGTCCATCTTCATTCCTACCTTCTCCATGTACGAGACGGCGAATAAGGGACTAATTGCTGCCCTCGTCGCGTATTTGGCAGAGACGCTGCCATACCGTTCCCTTAACACTTTCGTCCCGATGCCCATCCCGCAAGAGCACCACGGCACCTGGGTAGAGTGGAATAGAGTCATGAACGAGGTACTCGCAACTTGGCTTGTGCTTCCAAGTACGGCACCGCTCGATTAACAGAGGAAGCAAATGTCTCCATGCTTCGGATTCGTGGGCATCTGTTTTGATGGAAAGTACCTGTGTTATCTCTCTCTTCAATTTGTCCTGAATATCATTCGATCCAGGTATAATCCACGAATCAGCTACGACCGTGTGGGAGCCAATATCAAGTCGGACATCGGTAACAAGAATCGTTGCGTAGGATTCGTTCTCGACAGGGCTCCACAAGGCGAACTCAGTGTGAATGGGCCCTTGCAATCCTGTGGCAGAAATGAGAAGAGTGTGAAGAGAGTCCTTCAAATTCATCATTGTGTCAGGCGTAGTAGATCCGGGGAACGTGTTCCGGTTACGCGCTATGCGCTCTCTTTGCGAAAACATAAGTCCGACATGCGGTCCAAGCCAGTCGAATGCTTTGTGACTCCTGGAGGGTTTGAAGGATGGACAATGATCCAAATTCATGCGGTGCATACTCCAGAGCGTTGGTACGCCACAATCAAAGGTCGTTCTGAAATTCCTCGCCACGTTAGATTCTCCCTTGAAGTTGAGTGTCAGTGTCATTGGCGCAACTACCTGTTCTAACATTAATCACAGGTTGTACAAGGTGCCTACGACACTCACCTCGACGTATTTCGATCTCCGTGCTATGCGAAGCTTGGCATTTGTTGCGTCAATGGGGAGAGGGAAGGAGATGATATGTTGGTATTGGTCGACGCATAGCTTGGCTTTGTTGAGAGACACCTGTTCCACGGTGACTGTGCAACCACTAGAAAGTGATGCCTGTCCTGCAGGATCTACGACGTCGACGTGTGCAGTGAGCGACTGAATATGTGTATTGGACTCATCCATTTCCACGTGGATTGGATGTCCCCGAGTCATCGTGTCCAATTTAGGAGGTACAAGCGGGAACTCCGAGTTGACCGTGCTTTCGCTGGCTGTTGGTGCCCTTGTCAGAACATGGGCATATCGTTCATCGGTCAGAAGAGCTTTGAACAGGCACATTTCTAGCCCCAATTTTTGCGCCAAAGCCGCCGCAGGTCCCAAGGTGGAGCGTACCGCCAGGCCAACAGTTCCGCCAGACGTGTGGATGAGAGTGGTAGAAAGAACAGGGAAGGAGACAATTAATGGCGATGTGCCACTGATGCCCGCCCTGTCCTCGACGACGACTGCCACCTTATTCTCCCCCTCGCCTGATACCTCAAGCTTACCGAATGAAGCAGAAATACATGCGAAGGCATTGTGCTTAAAATCGGCTCGTATTTCACATTGCAAAATAGGCGTGCCAGCATTTGAAAGGTCGGATTGTACTTTGGCGATGGCGTAACGTGGAACCACCAGCACAACTGTTACGACTTCAGGGACCGTGCTCCACGACCTGAAAATGGGAGGGTTTTCATGAGAGCGAAGTTCCCGTACTTCCGCAGGGCTAAGCCAGGGAAGCCAGAAACCTGCGAGGTGTAGTTGACAGACCATTTCTTGATAGAAGTTCGACCCGGTGAGAAGTGTATGGTCCTGCAGAATTAATACCTCTAGATCATTGATGACTTTGTTCCAGTCGTAGCGGACTCTTGTCCTGATATGTGCGAGCAACAAGGCAAAGCTGCGGCGCGTATAATGGATAATCCCTGAGAACCGTATCTTCTGCATCAACTGAGATTTACCAAGGGACAGGATGGCCATCCGTTTTCTAAGATCCTCATCGGAGAACATCTTCAAGTATATGTCGAACAACTCTCCGGCCAATTGGTGTGGGGCAAACGAAAGTTCGCCTCCATGTAAACTGTCGGAGAGATGACCAAAATTGATATGCTTCCAAGCAAGGCGTTCATGATATTGGTTTGCAGAAGAGTTTGCAATAGACTGCATCATGGTCTCGGAGGTGTTGGAACGTGTGGTGAAACGGGATATATAGGCGGAAGGGATGACGCCTAAAAGTAGCGAGATGGTAGAGAGGTCCCCACACAAGTGGTCTAGGATACCTTGGGCAGGTGAATCACCTGCAGGCAGTAGGGCTTCAGTGTAAATTGTTGACGAGGGTGAGTTGGAGAGGAGAGGAGTAGTGACGGTGAGCAGGTTTTGCAATCCAAGATGATCAAGAAGATTAGAGGTCTCAATGACATTGAAGGAAGTCGGAGCGGGAGATGGAGTGCTTGGAGAGTATGACGCGTCATCGAGCTGTACCACTGATCGCTTCCACGGCGCGATGAATATCGGTGTGTGCGCCACGGAAGGCCTGTTAACGGAGTGAAGTGCCTGACAAAACGCAAGTGCCTCTCCAGCATACATCCGCACTACCAAGGATGCTGAGGACACACTTGTGTTCTGGACACGGCGTATGACAGCCTTGCACCAGGTACCAAATTGCTGGCGCGCAGTCCGCACGATTGTGTGGATTACCGATGGTGACTTCGTAGACAATTCAAGACCAGCAGATGCTAGAGCTTCTGCAAGATGAAAACCCGAAATGGGGTCTGTACCATAGTGCACAGCGAACTCGTTTCCGAACAAGGAGAAAGCAAAAGTAGGATTGGGGTTGTTCGCTGGTTTCACGTCTGGGGACCCGTCATCCGTGACACCGGTCGTCCAAAAACGCTTGAACTGTTCTGTAACAGCGAACAATGTTAGTGGGCCAAGGGGCCCCGCTGAACGCATAGAAGTCATTACAAGGCCGTCTTCGTGTGGCTTCCGCACGTTCTTGATACCATCCTGAAAGTTACCTTTGAACCACTTAGCTTGCTTAGCATTGAAGTTCGATGTCCCGAGCCAAAGTTTCCAGAATCGACCTATCTCCGAAAGCGTATCTGAGTTGCACATGGTGACGAAGTGCGCATAAGGACCTTGTCTCCACGATTCCAGACTTTCTGCAAGCGGAACAAGCTTGCGACATTGTTCGATCAGCAATGAGAGCGAGTTTTCGTCAAGCATCATGTGATAAAATATGTTCCAGATAGTGGCAAGTCTATCTTCAGCCCCATCATCGGCTAAGAGGGTAAAGAGTAACGTGTTTCGAGCTATTAAAAAATGGCATGGGCGAAGTAGCACTCGTTCAAATTAATTGCACATACCAAGGACGGCGGCTTCATAATCACAGCAGGTGATGTCGAGCTTGCGAGGTTCTATTGATCCCAAAGTTAGAAGCAAAAATATTCCAAGTATGACGCGAGATCATACCACTGGACGTCGAGGTATCAGCGTACACCGTGTATAAAATGTGCCTAGGGTCTCCACAGCCGAGGAGGAGCACATCCGCCTTGCATTCGGGGAGCAATTCCTCTGTGAGGCAAACAGCAGACGTGTTGCCAAGGGGATAGAAGAAATTCGACCTGGCCAGTACAAAACGTGGGACATAGTCTGGATAGAACTGGTACTGGATGTGAGTAGGAGCCAACCGCAAGTCTGGTTGTGTGGCAGCGAGCTGAACCCACCACTTTTTAAGTACAGGCTGAGTTGGAAGTTGGAACAAAGGGAACCCCAAGCGCCGCCTCGAGGCCTCCTGCTGCTTGGATTACATGGAAGGGTATGTAAGCGGGGTTCAATTGGTGACAAGGCTGAAGGGCATCATGGATCTCAGATAAGGGTATTTGCCGATACACACCCGCCCTTTTCGGTCGGGTCGATCACGGCAAGGTTACCATCACAGACGACCTGCAGACAGTCGCTCTCGCGAAGAGTGACCTTCAGCGCTTCGTCAAAGTCTGAACTCTTATTCATAAGAACCCCGGTCGGTGTGAACGGTTGCACCCCATCATGGCTTCCACTCTACTACTACGACATGCAACCAAAGCAACTCTGACTGGGGGCCCTCTTCGTCTGTTCAGTTCCCAGTAAGCACTCCCCATGTAGAGTTTGAAAGACATGGCCCACGATCAGCGGGTAGCAGTCCAAACGACCTTCCGCTGAGCGGCATACGCGTTTTGGAACTGGGACAAGTCATCGCTGGCCCGTTCTGTGGACAGCTCCTCGGGTAAACCAGCATTATTTAAAATTGAAACGCCGACGTGCTTGTCTTGACGTTCGTCCCAGGCATTTTGGGGCAGAGGTCATCAAGATAGAGCCACCCTCTGTAGGGGACCCTCTGAGAGTGTGGCGCGAACTCGACGCTGATGGTGTTAGTCCGTGGTTCCGGAGTCTAGGCAGAAAACAAGAAGAGCGTCGCTATTGATCTGAGAAAAGATGAAGGACGAGAGTTCGTGCTTCCAGTTATGTGCATGGTTAAATACCATATAATACTGATGGTGTCACCAGACTTGTGAAGTGGCTAGCGGCCAAGAGCGACGTGGTACTTGAGAATTTCAAGCCTGGAAGTAAATTATCCTTTTCCTATCGCGTGGTTACCAAAGGTACTGACTCTCTGCTTCCGATAAGCACTTGAGAAATGGGGATTGGGTCCTTCCGACCTGCATCCGCTCAATCCCTCTCTCATATTCACTCGAGTTAGTGGGTATGGTCAGACAGGACCGTGGTCTTCTCGTCCCGGTTATGCATCCGTTTGCGAAGCGGAATCTGGTTTCCGTTACATCAACGGTCTCGTGGATCCAAAGACGGATGGGCATGCTGGTCCGCCGGTTAGACCAAACATCAGCTTAGGGGACTCAGTTGCAGGGCTCCATGCCGCTTTCGGAACCGTAAGTCAAACCGACCTTGCCTGTACGGCGCAATTGCTGAGTATTCCTGCAGGTCCTGGCGTTGATGTCACGGGAAAA